GATTGAAATCAGTTATCAGAAAGATGAAGTTTTAAAACAAACAAGACATTTGATGGGCAATCCACAAAATCGTTCATTGTTTGTGTTTTTTTGGTCATGGTTCAACTTTCGGCAATTGCCGGCTTTGTGTTGAACTTCGAAGTTTTTTAGATCATCAGTCAATCAGTCCACCAATTCTCCACACATGAGTTCTCATCCAGCCGTTAGATTTAATGACCCCCCGGTGACCGACTATACCACTATGGATGTGGATGACTCATCTATGGGCCGGGTATCACTAGGTATGTTGTATTCTTATCATGCCTTATCTATTCACCGGGTATCCCTTAGATGACTTAGATGACTTATACCTTGGGCCGGATGATGACATGGAATATGATTCTACATCATCCAGGCCCCCGGATGTGTCGGCTGCAATACCTGGTATGACTATACATTCCTTATGATCAGGGATCACCATGCATGCTCACTTCACCCTCACAGATCAATCACATCCAGGTCAAGCTGATGATGCCAGCTGTCTCATTGATCCAGACTTGTACCTCGGGCCTGAGGATGATGTCATTGATGTTTATGAGTTGCTGGATTCTGCTGACCCTCCCACTTTTGCTCCGGCTACCTCAGAGGTGTCTATGTCATGTGGGTCCATTCATTCCAGACCATTATTGATACTGATCTTATCTCCCAAGCCAACAAATCATCTACCAAACCTCGTGCAGACCTGCTGGAGCTTGATATTGAGGATGAACATTTGATGGTCCGGGAGCTCCATCCTTTCGGAAAATACCAACACCCAGAATATGAGTATCTGAAAGCAGAGCATTTATCTTTGTGCTAATCTTTCTGGAAGACCAATCCGTCCAAGATCAACTCCATGATTACAAACACCATAATGGAGGTCTTCCTGACCCTTCCATCCAACAACTGATCGAGGCTGAGCGACCATTCCAAACTGCTTTGGCAGAAACATCCGACAAACTGAAAAAGCTGATGCATACCTGCAGAGGTTGCAAAGAGTTGAACAGATGAGCATTGAAATGCTCAAGGTAGTAGATTCCATGATTGAACACTTTGAAGAACAAATGACCATGTAAATTACTGTATTGCAACCTCTGAATTTTCACTGACATCCCCACATCATGTACACTACCAAATTTCTCAATACATGTCCCTGGGTGTCGAACAGGACTCGAGACTCAATAGTCGGGACTCAATACTCGATAGTCGGGAGTCGATGTTCGGGACTCAATGTTCGATATTCAGGACTTGATACTCAATAGTCGGGAGTCGATGTTCGGGACTTGATGTTTGATATTCAGAAGTCGATAATCGGGACTAAGCACTCAGCACTCGATATTCAGGACTCGATGTTCGATGTTCAGGACTCAGTGTTTGACGAATCTCGGGCTTCGGGTTTCGGGACTTGAGGTTCGATAGTTGGAATTCGATGTTTGGGACTCAATAATTGATATTCAGTAGTCAGGACTCGGCATATCATATTAGGTCAGATATATGAAAGTTACACATCAACATGTAAATACAAGCAGGTAAAGGCAGGCAGTGTAGTATCAGTCCATTATTTCTTTCCCCTTGCTCTCATCACTCGAGGGCTTGTGTCCAATGGCTGTTGTGTTGACTTACTCCGGGTTGTCCTTGCCAATGGCTCAATCACCACTTTCTTTCCCCACATGTTCTTCGGCGCTGGCGACCTATTGACTCTTTCGGTTGCACCATCCTCCTGAACATTGTCAGTGACTCTCTCAGTCAGTCCAGTCAGGAGGTCGCCCATTCGTGATGTCAGCAGTGCACCAGTCTTCCCTGCATTGACCAGGCGAGGCTTTGGAATTGCATGTGGGACCGCTGTCCCTTCATGTGCTGTTGAAGGACCAGGCTCTGTTCTGGGTCTCTTTTGTGGGGATCTACCTTCTAATGCGTCATCATCAGCATCATCCTCCATCTGATGAGTGTTGCCCTCGGGATTGCTCTCTGGATCACTCTCGTGATCGGTCTCGGGATCACTGTCAGTTTCGGTTGCCGAATTCTGAGGCCTTCGGATCATAACTTGTCTGACTTTACGAGTCCGATGAGAAGGCGAATCCCTAGATACAACCGAGGCTACCATGTCCCCATCTCTGTTCTTCCATGCTTTGAACAGGAATGTTGGACCTTCCCCTTTCTCCTGCCGAGCATACCAGAAATTCAGTAAGGCGGTCGTGTCCCAATGTTGCAACTTCGAAGGTTCCTTCAAGTCCACATCCACCAGAACATACTTTCTTGCCACAAAGTCATCCTGACTTTGTATGATGGCACTCCATGGCACAACTGCCTTGTCAATCCCGGAACAGATACCTGTATAAATGCATTCAACAAATGTTCGGGTGTTGCGATGATGGACTCATAATAGTGAGATGTGAGAAATGCTCTGACAATGGCTTTCTTCTCCTCGAGTTTCGTTTCGGTGATGTCGGGAAGCACTGGCATCCCATCCCCATCGATTTCGAGTTCGAAAGCAGGCTTCCTGATTCTCTTTCAACCTCCCTTCACCTGTCGCCCACCATCTTGTGCCCCGGCACCTATCATGACGAAGATCAACTAATTCATTCCAGTAGCCAGAGATCAAACACTCACTGAATTGTTCCTGCGCATACTCCTGCCAAACTGGCTCAATGTCCTCTCAGTCCTTTGTCTTCATGAAACTTTCCCCATCTCCTAATGCCTCGTTATCATCGTGCCTGCATGAAATGTATTGAGATCGAAGATCTGTGATGATAAAATTGACTTACATCCCGAACAGCACCTCTCCCTGTTCATTCTTCCACGCCGACATCACAAACACTCTCATCCCACATTGCCTCCACATCTCCTTCGAAAAGTGCTCCATATACGCCCATCCCTTCTTACGAGCCACTTGTGCTTGTATCTCGGGAGGAGGAAAGTTGTTGGACCATTCTTCAGCCGTGTCTTTTGCCTTCTCCAACTCGTCGTCAGACAATTCAGCCATGACTCTTTTTACAGCTGCCTGATAATGCTTGAACATACTGGGACCTCCTGGCTTTGCCCCGGACTCGTCCTCAATCCTCTTCAGCACCTCCTCCCATTTCTGCTGGTAGATCACCTGCCTAGGAGTCCATTTACTCCCATACTTTATCATGTCCTTCCTCTCCTTCTTTTTCTGGTTGTTGAACAACCATGTCTTGTACATCTGAGAGTTCATGGAAGAATAAGATGTTAAAATTTTAGTTTTGAATGAAGCAAGGATGAATCACCTGCTTCCTCTTCTTCCATTGTGCTTGGTCGACCTTGGGAGCAAATAGCCTGGCAGCCCTAGCTATGGCAGTGAAAACTGCCCTTTTCTCATTCCTTTTCGCCAAAGTCCACTCAGGAAGGTAGTTCTTCAACTCCGAAATTTCATTATCCATGAGCTTCTGTGTCTGCGGTTGACACGCCCTATGTCTTCCAGAAGTGAAAGTCAACTGAGTGGAATGACCTGATCTTGCCATTGTGAATGAGATTGCAGAAAAGGGCTGAGGATGAGCAAGGTGGAAGTAATAATGGTGACAAGTTCAACTTTTGAGCAAAGCCTAACAGTTGGTTAATTGACCCATATTGGATGCAATTCCATTATTGGAAATGAATTTGTAATGACACATCAAGACTGCATAACATCACATTGCAATAACAATTTATTCACATTCCTGAGCTAATGCTTTGCTTGCAGCCTTCGAAAAAACATGAAGATAGGTAGATGCTGTTAAGACTGTAGCTCAAGGGTAGACGGATCCGAAGGGCTTGGCCTCAGCTTGTGCGCTGTGCCCCTTACCCGAGTACGTGCCCTTAATTTCAGAATGAAGTCCAGATGGAATCTGACGAAGTCTGAAGGACTTCCAGAGGCTGGCTACTCTAGTAGAGTGTGAGAGGATTTCTGGATGAATGCAAGAAACTTCCGGAGGAGTATAGGAAACTCCGGAGGAGTTTCATCCACTGTATTAGATCCGAAGGTAAGACTTCCCAAGGTAAGTTCCCTAGATAGAAACACATAGAGGATAGGCTGCAAGGGACAGAGTCCAAAGCAGGATAGGATAGGAGGAGTGGTCCGAAGAACAGGACATCCGGAGGTCCGAAGGTTAAGACGTCTGAAGGGTACGTCGTCCGAAGGTTACGACATCCGAAGGTTATGACGTCCGAAGGTCTGAAGGTTTACCAGGACCGGAGGAGCAGACAGGATTAGGACAGGAGGGGAAAGGCTACTATGGACAAGGTCCAGAGTAGAAACAAACAGAGGTAGACTACACTATGGTAGAGTCGGAATAAACAGGGTTTAGACAGAAGTCTCGGAAAGACAGGAAGTGCCAGAAAGGCAAAACTCTGGCTTAGGGAGTCAATCCCTAAGCATGGATGTAGATGGAAGGATAAATCCGGAAGACCAGAAAGTCGGCCTAGGGAATCCTTCCCTAGGCCTAAGGAAAGGCAATACTAAGATGGACTGAAGTCCGAGATCAGAATGAGTGAAGTCTGAGATCAGAATGAGTGAAGTCTGAGATCAGAATGAGTGAAGTCTGAGATCAGAATGAGGTGAAGTCTAAGATGCGAGAGAGCAAATCTATGTTGATATTCGAACTAAGGAAACTTTACGGGAGTTGTACAGAGGTTTATATACTGGAAGGGATCCGAGAGGATCAGTAAGCTGAATACAAATGCTATGTACAAGCATGTGGAAACATATTAGTAAGTATGAACGGAACATAAGTAAATGAACTCGGATATGAACAGAGTACAAGGATCAATAAGCAAGACGGGAACAGAGATAACCGAAGTCCGGAGTCAAGGGGATTACCATAAGGAGATAGACGCTGATTTAAGGTTTGGGCCTCGGGTATGAGTATAGGTCAGATCCGGAGGTCTAGAGATATCGGATGAAGCGTCTGGATATTGGATGAGTGGATCCAGGGATCTAGGTGAAGACGAGACTAGGATATGGATCATGGATATAGACTGATAGTCTAGGGAAGGTAGAGTCCAAGATGGAATGAGCTCGGATCCGATAGGACCAAGGGTGGATGAAGCAGGCTTAGCTGCGGAGGTCCAAAGGTATGGATATATGGATGTACGAAGGTGTACGGATCCAAACCGATAGTGGACTGGAGGACTGAAGGCACGGATAAGGGTATGGAGTCATGGATAAGGGTATGGAGGTCCAGATGTGCATCTGGAAGGCGTTGGAACATCATCGGACGTGGGTCCGGAATACGGGATATGACAGATGCACCCCATTGCAAAAAATCCCACAGGGTAGAAGCAAGGGGCGGCAGAGGTAGGAAAATTTGGGTCAAGGTCCCACTTGCAAGCACAAAAAGACGTGTCTACAGGTCCATGCCTAGCTCTCCCCCAGAATCACCAACACTTCGACCTGTTGAGGCACCACCTCTTTGGGAAGACATTCCTGACAACACTTACGAGCAAGACCAAGGCTCATTTGAGCCATTGCAACTTCCAAAAACCATGGCAAGTTTGTAAAATGTTGCATTGCAATTCAAATGATAGCTAAGTGTAACAAATGCAGAGTCAGAATGACTACCTCAGGCAATGGCTGCCAAGGCAAAAAATCATATCTGCATCACCTCCTGGATCCAGAAGCTCCACCAGAAGATAGGAGATGTGTCATCTGCGACCAGGATGGGGTCTACAAATGTCAAGATTGTCTTGTGGAGCCACTCTATTGCACTGGCTGTTGCAGAAGTCAACATCTTTGCAATCCCTTCCACTGGATCAGTCAATGGAATGGTCAATTCTTCGAGCAAAGTTGTCTTGCTCATGTCGGACTTGTCATACACCTTGGTCATGAGGGCAAACAATGTCCGGTACTTACAGATAGGTGGGATTTGTTCAAAGAAGACGAACCGAAAGACCAGCTTGAGCCTGAAGATCTACCATCTGTGTCGGGACCTGAGTTCCAGCCGAAGGAAAAACACCATGGTCATCATTGACAAGTCCGGAGTTCATCACCTCCAGGTTCGATGCTGCGATTGTCCAAATGCCATGAGTCCAGACCTTCAAATGTTTCAACATGGATTTTTCCCCGCTTCATTTAACAAGCCGAAGACTTTGTTCACCTTCAGGGTTCTCGATGATTTTCTATTGGACAACCTTGAATGTGGGACCTCGGCGATGAACTATTACAGCAAGCTCCGGCGAATGACCTCGAGCATGTTTCCACACCTTGTACCAGTAATGCCATATATCTCTCATCTAAAGGACATTATATTGACAAAGCATGTGGCAAGGACCGATACCGAGAGCTCATGAGAGTCGCCCAACAGTGGAGGCAGTTGAAGATGATGAAATGGCATGGCTTTGGCCATTGTGCTGACAGCCTGAATGCAGGAGATCTCACATTATTTGCCTGGCATGTCCTTAGCCTGGGATTAATGTGTCCTTAGCAGGGCATGGATCACTTGATGAGTGAGTCTTCTTCAATACTGAAGTCACCTCAGTGATAATAACAACTCCAAGGTCGAAATACACCCGGTCATTTGTTATGGATGGAAATTTCAAAGCCAAACACCTGCATCCCATGAAGCTGCTTGATGAAGTTTGGCTGTCAGATGGGTGGGATTCATGGTGGGAAAGGACAGGTATAAAATGCATCTTGCAGAGGCTGCCGACACTTTAGAAAAATCAAGCTGCAACAATCACCAGGCAGTAAATCAAGCAAATGCGGCTCGGCACAAGCTGGAATCCACGGGCATTGGGGGAGTAGCCTGTGCTCGACACGGTTGCTTTGTTCCTCACTTGATGGTAGATTTTCAGAAAGGCAAAAGGCAAGCCGACCCGGCCATTTGACATTCACGAGTTAACCATGCATCATTTGCAGACAAATGAACATGGACTATGCACTTTGTGAGGCTACCCGGCACAACATGGAAGGCATCACCAGGGCGGGTCAACCTTCTATGATATCAACTGTCAATACAACAAGCACTTTCGGTTTGGGTGGATCGAAGCCGATTTCTCAAAATGGTTCCGGAATTGACCATCATTCCCGGAATCGGGGTTGTGGCACATCCATGGACATAAGGACAGCTGCTATGTCCAATATGCGTCGAATTTTATTGAAGGCAGCGGTCGGATCGATGGAGAGATCATGGAGACCCTATGGTCACGTCTCAACCTGATTTCCCCCGCTGCTCGGGGAATGTCATCCCCGCATCGAAAGGAATGTCTCGATTATCAGATGAATGATTCCAATTTCTGCAAAATGATCCGCATTAAAAGGACCCTTTGCCGAAAATACAAGCAGGTGAAGAATGGCAATCGCTGAAAGGTGAAAAGGCTTTCGACAGACTTGATGAAGCAGCACCCAGTCAATTCAAAGACAGAGTGGTTAGCCAGCGAGAGGATCCCTCAGTCCAGCAGAATAAATGATCCTGTGGCTATGGATGTATATGAGATTAATATCAAGAAGGGTTAGTTGACTTTGTGTCCATCAAAGTCCAAATTAATTTTGCACTCAGCACCGAGCAAAAAGGAGATCGAGCTTAGACAATTAGAGGAGGGTAATGCCTGAAATGGCAACACCAGCTCACAGATCTGTGGCAACATGGATATCAATGGGGGCTGGCAATTGAAGAGGCCCAAATTGCATTGCTCATCGAGATCTCGAAGAATTGGTAGAAGAATGACCGAGACACAGAGGTTAGACATCGCCCGGCAACGCGATCATCTCCAAGGCCAGATAGATGGATTCACTCGGTCTGCTATTACGCATCTCAAGAGGGATTTGATGCAGATGATGATCCTGAAACTTGGACTTAGACATTCTCGTGATCTCGATGATGACTTGGCAGACTTCACCGAGACATCTGACACATGGGCAAACTCCCCTGAGCTCACTGTAATCCCATTGCCATCAAACCTCGGGGTAGAT